GGGGCAGAAAAAGTTGAAATCTACGGGTTCTTTAGGCTGCGAACCACGAATCCCGACATCTTCGGGGCCGGGGACGTGCTGCCGGACCGGCAGCGCTTCACCCACGCGGCGGAGTGGCAGGCGCGCCTTGCGGTGCGGAACGCCTTGCTGGGGGAGCGCCTCGACGCCCGCAGGCCGGGGCCTGTGAGCTTCGGCAAGGTCTAAAGGCTGGAGCTGGGGCCCTCAATTGCCAGTTGTGAACTAGTTAGAAGCGGTTCCTTGGGGTGGTGATGGTGAGCAAGATTTCGGTGAGGGGGGAGGAAAAGGGGGGAGAGGCAAATGTAAAGATACCCACAAAAACATACGTGTCGCCCACAAGGTCATGATCGTGTTGGCAGGTTTAGGGTTCTTAGGGTTTAGGTTTAGGGTTTTTAGGGTTTAGGTTTAAGGTTTTAGGGTTTAGTCTGTTTAAAAAAACAAAGTGTAGGCAGTGTAGGGTTGGGTTGTTGGGGCTTAGGTTTAGGGTTGTTGGGGTTTAGGTTGAGGGTTGTTAGGGTTTAGGTTGAGGGTTATTTAGGGTTTAGGTTGAGGGTTATTTAGGGTTTAGGTTGAGGGTTATTTAGGGTTTTTACGGAGATTTTAGGTTTAAGGTTTTTAGGGTTTAGGCTTACGCTTGTAGAGTTTAGGTTTAGGGTTTTGAGGGTTTTTAGTAGGGTTTCTAGGGTTTAGGTTTGCTTGGAGCTGGCTGTCCGGGGCATCCGAGGCTGGCTTCTCTGGTTTGGATCTAGGGTTGTGTTGATGATAGCACCGCCGCGCTCCATGAAGGGGGTATGGAGCATGAAGCTGGGGTGGGGCTCGGGGGGCTCGGAAGTCCTTTTTTGCTGCGCCTGCCACGCTTTTTGGAGGTCTCGGGGACACGCTTCCGGGCGGTCGCGGGCAACACATACTTTTTGGCCGTAAAGATACCAACGCTTAATGGCACACAAATTAATGAAGGGTGCACCCTTGATTTTCCTGCGAAAACAAGACTCGATGATAGTGTAATCGGCGTGGACCCTGTGCCGGCTTTCAGCATCCGCTTAAGTAATTTCCGTTCAGGCTCCGCTTAGTGTCCGTTTGTTTGGTTGGGCCCTGCGGCTAGGCTCCTCATTCCGCGGGCCACCTACACGGAACCGGAGGTTGCAGCGGTAGGTTCCACTGCAGAGGAGCTGAAAGCAGCAGGCACTCGGCCTTGGCGGTGGCCCTTCTGTTCTGGGTTGTTCAAACGCAATCCGCAAGGTCCTTTTGCCAGATGGTGGTGGTTTCCCCTGTAGTGCAGGATGCCTGCGGTTGTAATCTTTTCGGGATTGTCGTTTCAGATCGACGAGGTGTGCTTGCTGCTTGTTGCATGGGTGCGTCATTCCCCTTTCCAGGGATTGTTCGTTGTGGTCACGTGGTGGTCACGTGGTCACGGTCGTGCCGGAAGGTGTGAAGTTCGAGACCTTCGTCCGACAAGCTGCCGACGTGGATCGCAACAGGTGCGATGGCGTGACGGAGGGCTTCGCCTCGCTGCATGTGGCCCAAGATGGCCAGATCCTCGGGGCTTGCGTTGTGGGACCCAACGCTGGGGATCACATCTCAGAGGTGACCCTTTGCATGCAGCATGGCTTGACGGCTTCTGATTTGGCCGGCACCATGCATCCCTACCCCACAGCAGCCGAAGTGGTCCGACAGGCAGCCCAAGCCTTTGTGCGCGCGCAGATCTTCCGAGCTGCCAACCAAGACTTGCTGAGGGGCAGCAGCGATCCCTGCAATGCTGTCCGGGCAGAATGCAGTGAATTGGGCCTTTGCACCATCAGCATTGACCGCCCTGAGGCGCTGAATGCATGCGATCAGGCCATGGCCAAATGCATCGTCGAGGCTGCACGTTTGCCGCACGCTCGCGCATTGCTGCTTCAGGGGGCACAGGCTGGGCAGCGTGGCAAGGTTGCTTTTTGCGCTGGCGGCGACGTCAAAGCCATGGCCCAGGTGCTGAAAGAGGATCCCCAGAGCCAACTGCCTGCTGTGCAGCTGGCTCAGGAGTACGCGGCCATTTCTTCATTGAGTCGGAGGAGGGCGGAGGGTCTTCCGGTGATTTGCTTCATGGACGGCATCTGCATGGGCTTCGGCCTGGGCCTGGCTTGCGCCTGCGAGTTCCGGGTGGTCACCGAGCGCTCGCTGCTGGCCATGCCGGAGTGCGCCATCGGCATCACGCCGGACGTCGGCTTCGCGGCCATGGCCGCCACCATGGCCGCAGGACGCTGCATGGCGCTCACCGGCTGGCGGCTGACGGGCTCCGAGGCGGTGGCCTACGGCCTGGCGACACATCTCGTGCCCTCGGAGAAGTTGGAAAGCTTGAGGAGGAAGCTGCAAGAGCTAGACTTCAGCTCGGGGGAGGAGGTGTCCAGAATCTTGGACGAATATGATGATGAATCCCGTCAACAAGATGGGGCGATCCTGTCTGTGCTGGACTCTGTATTTACGCAATCGCCAACGGCCAAAG